TCCATATAGCATTGGACAGCATTAAAAACTACGCTTAAAATTAGAATAATATTTTTAGAAGAAGAATATTTTTCCTCACCATATGTTTCTCCTCACAACTGGCAGAGCAAAAAATCAGCATCAAATGGCTCGATTGCTTTCATTTATTTAATAATTCTTTAATGAAAAGTAACATCTTGTGATTTTCTGGCCCAGGTTGTGCCACATTACCTTCCACAGTGTCTCTCCTGGAATATGGTGCATGTCATGTCTTAGCTTAGCATTGCTAGAATGGCAGTTGTCAGAGTTAAACTTTTAAACTTTTCAGAGTTTTCATGTGGCTCTTGATGGGGAGAGGGGCAGGCAGGAGGTTTCTTGCCCTGTGCCTGTGAGTCAGGAGAGATCCCTGTGCCCTGCTGGTTGTGAGGGGCCTGAACCTGGTGGACAACCAGTGTGCAAGGCAAGGTCTTCACTTGTTACTGGTGCCAGATTAATGGCAGAGCATTTTGTGTTGTTACATTTGTATAATTCAAAGTAATTACAGAATTTTAAATGGAGAAAAAAACACCCAACACTTTTGCCTCCGTTATCAAGAAATTTTTCTTTTCCTTATTGAAAAGCTCTAAGGACCTATCACCACATGTTATGTTCTAAAGTAAAAGCAGTCTCTAGGTGTTATGTGTTGACACATATAGCAGGAAAAGCCTTAATGTGTTATAAGTGGCATAATAATCATCCCTCAACACAAATGTACTGCAGGGAGAGGTGGTTTCCTTGGTAATTATGCTGAGTTGCTTGTCTGACATCTGTTATTCCTTCAGGACTGTTGTTGCCATTTGTACTTCATTGGGTTTTTCAGATGAAGAATTACCTTTTTTGGCCATGTGCTGTTTTTTAATATCTTTTGGCTATTTGTCATCTGGGATGATTTATCTGTGTTAATCAGAATAGAAAAGAAACATGGTATGATTTTGATGATTGAGAGTAGCAATTAAAAATTTGTCAGGACACTTCTAAAACAATTAAAATCTTTCCTGCTAAAATTAGACTTTTCTGGAAACATGAACCCTTAGGCCTGGTGCTCCAGGCAGCATAAGTAGCTCAGGATTAAACTATAAAAATTTCTGATTGTCTTGACAATTGAATTTTAAAGAATTAGAAGTCTGAGAGTCAGGTATCTCTAAGGCTGTACAAACCACAAGATCCTTAGGATGTGTTTGTAGGACAGCTTTTATTTGTTGGCAGGCCTTGAGAGCTTCAAATGCTTTTTTTTCCCCACTCCCCCCATTAGTGCAGAGAGAAGAGGACAGATATTAACAGAGCTCCTGGCAAGTTGCAGTCTGCTGGGATTGATGTGTTAAATATCTTTCCTTTAATAAAATACTTCACTTGCTTAAGTGCTCATGTTAAAGACCTTGGTGGATTTTGAAAATATGCCGTGAGTGAAAGTGTAGGTGAGCTGTGTGGACTCATAAGCTATGAAACTTTGAAGTTAAAAAAAAGAATTTGGGGGTTTGAGGGTATAATTTGTCAGTCCTTTCCCCCCAATTTTCTTGATAAATAGCTAAATTACAGTTTCTCTTGGATTAGAGTAATTTGCTTCCAAAAGTTTTTATCGTATTTCTTTTTATCTTCCACAAGACTCCTTTAATGTGTCAGCCTGGAAGGTGTCAGACTTCTGCTTAGGGACAGCAGGGAACCACACAGGGCATTGACTTGCAGGAGTGGCTTTTGCTTTATGGATGATCTGAAACTCAGCTGGAAGAATTTGTAAGGTGTTGAGTGTGTTTTGTTTTCCTGTTCAGAATTACCAGAGATGTTATAGGCTTGTAGTGCAATGATGGTTGATGCTTTATTCAAGACACTTTCATGGAAAAAGTCATTAAAGTGGAGAGCTACTAAAACCAAAAACACTGTTGAGAAAGAGAAGTATTGCCTTCCTTGAAACTGTCAGGTGTTCTTGCTTCCTAAACTCTGATCCTGAGTCCCTTTTGGGAATGTGTCCCTCTTATTTACTGACATGCAGGGAAGTTGATGTATGAACTGAAGACCAAAGATCAGACTCTTTTCAACACTTCTGCCTTTCCTTTTAGCACGCATTAGTTTTTTAATAATTTTGTTCTTTGTGATCCAGGTCATCTCTCTCTCCCTCTTGGTGTACACAGCCTTCACTCTTCTCTGCATGTCCCTGGAGAGTAGGAATAACCCCAGTGTGTACAAAAGTGAGGGTGCTTTCTGAAACTCTTCTCTCTGTTCATGTCACTCTTCCTTTTTTTTTTTTTCCCCTCTGATACCTTCAGGGAGTGTTTGAAGAACCAACCATGCTTTAATTGCTTCATCTGTTTCCATTCATGAAAATGTGTCCTGGTTACAGATTCAAATTTTCTGATCTTAGAGTGATGAATAGTCTTTCTAATAGTAGGCTTTGTTTAGACAAGATTTTTTTAAAAAGGATTGTATTTTTCCAGGTCTTCTTACTTCTCTTATTTCTTTCCCACCCTTTTCCTCTCATGCACAGAAATGTAACCTGAAGTCATAGCAGTATTCTTAGTGTACAGCAGGGGGTGTATGACAGCCAACCACCTTAATATGCATTTCCATTGTCCACTTAATTTTATGATGTTGAGCTTAATTCCATTTTATGTATTTTGTGACTTTTTTTTTTTTAACACCTCTAACTTAATCAGGATCCCAGCATTATTTGGCCAATGAAAAGTAAATGTCAAATGAAAATTTTACTGCCTTAAAATAGAAATACTTCAGGGGCACCTTGTCTTACTGAAAATGAAGTCAGAGGTTGTCCAGAGGGATTTTGGCGTCTCCAAGCTTGGAGGACTCAAAAGATTCCTGGGCAACCAGGTTTTGGTGTCTGCTTGAGCTGGGGGTGGACCAGGTGACCTCTGAAGGTCCTTGCCAACCTCAGTCATTCTGTGGTTCTCCAGAGGTTTTCTCCATGTGCATGGGGGAAAATTCTGTACCTTTCTTTCCTTTCAAATAGCAGCTATTTGGCGAGTACTCTAATGTATGTAAGTATGAACTAATGTGCCTGGAACATCAATGTTTTCACAGGGCACAGCCTTATGGGTGCCTAATTGAGATTAAGTATTTACCTATGTGCTTTAAGTGTCTTAATTTCTTTTTTATCCTGGACCATTACCAAGTATTCATTAGTGTCTATGACAGAATATTTCTATTTATCACTTCACTAAAGTTCTTTAAAGTATTATGATTTCACTGTATTTAAATGAGTGTGAATCCTAGTCTGTGTGTGCTGTGCAATATAAAAATTCTTCTGCCCTGAGCAGAATGGAGTTGTCAGTGGTAATCTTGCTGTTCTGCAGAGGGCTGGTGGAGGAGAGGAACTGGGGTGCTACAAGAGATCAGTGCTCATGGTTAGGATGCCTGGGGTCCTCGTTCATGGTTGGATGCTGTGATTATGTAGAGAGCATAATTTTTAGGGTAAATGTCATATAAAGATTACCCTTAAGTAACCCCCTAGTTAAGCAGCAAGGGAAGATGTGATAAAAATAGAAAAATTAATAAAGTAAAACAAATTTTCTGCTTTTAACTATCAAGTAGTCTTTGAAATAAAGTATTCCCAAGCTGGGGTGAACCTGTATGAAAAACAAGTTGGATTTTGTACAAAGAAAAAAATAAAAGTAAAATTGTTATTTAAATATGAGTCTGATGGTGCCTTAATGGCGTGGATGCATGAAGAAAGCATCCCAATCGCTCTATTACTCAAAATTAAATTAGTGATATCATTAAAAAGTAAATCAGATATTTTGGTGTTATTTGGTGTTACTTTTTGGTTATTTAGTATATTATATGTACCCATATATATATATATATATATACCCATATATATATATATATATACACACCCATATATATATATACACCCCTATATATATATATACCCCTATATATATATATACCCCTATATATATATACCCCTATATATATATACCCCTATATATATATATATACCCATACATATATATACCCATACATATATATATACCCATACATATATATATACCCATACATATATATACCCATACATATATATATACCCCTACATATATACCCCTACATATATACCCACCCATATATACACCCATATATATATATACACCCATATATATATATACCCATATAAATATACCCATACATATATATACCCATACATATATATACCCATACATATATATACACCCATATATATATACCCATATATATATGTATACACCCATATATGTATATGTACCCCATATATATATGTATATATACACCCATATATATATGTACACACCCACAACATTATATACTTAACATTATATACTTAACATTATATATTTTTATATATATATATATATATATATCTGCGAATGTAGCTTGAGCTGTCGGAGCGTTGTTCCCTTTTTCGGAGGTGAGCCCTGCGTGTGCCCGGCGGGGCCGTGCGGGAGCGGCAGTTCCGCAGCCGAGCGCTGGAGGGCTCCGCAGACTGACGGCTGCCCGGCGATTTCAGGGGATTGCTGCATTGTACTTGCGCGGGGTTTAATGCTTGCCGGGCCATTTGGCTATTTGCCATAATTGGCTTTCCATTCCCTTGATTGGAATCATAGATAAAAATTTGCTAATCCACTTTCTTTGCTGAAAGTATTAGAAAAGTAATCCATCTTTTAAAAATGCTCGAACAAAATCATATGGTATAAAGAGTACTTTGTGGAATAATGAGATTAATGAGAACTGTAAGGCATATGCAATTTAAAACGTTTTTCTTTGGGTTTAAGGGGAAAAATGCAATCTGGGCACTATGAAGCCATAAGTACTTCCTTTTTTATGCACTACCTTTTAAATGTGCGTTACATGTTATGCTTTTGTCTGTGATAAAATGTGAGTATGTATTCAGGAAGAAGGATCTGCTATTTACTTGTAATTTTAAGAAGGTTTGAAAATACCTGATTCAAATTTCTTGGCTGTGTTTTTTTCCTCCCTCTCCCCTCTTCTGCCCATAGGGCATCAGAGCAAGGATTTTGGAAACCCTTGTAATGCTCATTCTTCTTGCACTGCTTATCCTTGGAATCGTATGGGTGGCTTCAGCACTCATAGACAATGATGCTGCCAGTATGGAGTCTTTATATGGTATGGAATGCAAAAAACCTTCACCCAGTTTCATTGTAAATACAGAAATGCAGGTTTCCAGTTATTTCTAGTATATGCTATGTGAGTATTGCACAAGTTGTGAAGGAGGTGTCTTAATTCAGTCAGCACCATTTTGATGTTAAATTCTGTGACATAAGTAGCCTCTTGGTAATTAGCTAACACTGTGCTCAATGTTTTCTTTACAGACCTCTGGGAATTCTACCTCCCATATTTATATTCCTGTATATCACTGATGGGATGCTTGTTACTTCTGTGTAAGTATTTTCCTCATTATTCCAAGAGATGGATGGTGTTATGGTGGGCGATTTTTTGTGTATTGTGTTCAATTTTTTTATGGTTAAAAAACCAGTTTTCATTGTGAAAGTTCAGTGGGATTTTCTTTTTTTTTGATTAAATTTAAATTTAGGTGTGAATTTGTTAGGTTTGAGTTCTGAAGTTTAAATAAATGGTCCCTTAAATTTTCAATTTTTGAGAAACTTTCCAACTCACCCAATTTTGACTAATAACTTGTTAAAGCAGGTGGTTGAAAAATAGGGACTCTATTCTGCAAAGAAAAGCACAATTTTTAAATGAAATGTCTGCAGGAGGCCGGTAGTATGGTGAGAAAATTATTTTGGAACATTTTGTCCTATATTCAGTAAACTACCATTCTTCCTTTTGTAATTGAAAATGTTGCTGCATAGGCAGGAGTTGGAAGACTGCAGCCAGATTTCATAATCACACAGCTGGGCTCTGGCCAGTCTGCAGGGCAGTTACACAATTGCATCTGAAACAAATGCAGTAAAAACCCAACTTTACACTGACTGCTCCTAGCCAGAGTTCAGTCATCCATGTTCAGGGGAATAAGAAACATGATGGAAGGCTCCAAATCCCACCTAGAATCTCAGCCCTTTCCTTGAATAATTTCTAGAAAATTGCTGAGAGGAACAGAACATCTCCCTTTCTAGATTACTGTGGTTTCATCCCTTCTCCAAGCTTGACAGGTTCAAAGCTTACATGGGGCTGTCACTGTGGAGAAAGGGTGGGGAATGATAATTTATGATATCCTTTAAACAGATCTATGAAAGAGACCTCAGTGAGTCTCCTTAGGTTCTCAAATCCACTTTGGAGGAAGGTGGGAGGATTAAACAATGGGATTCTCAACATCTTGTGCAGGCTGTTCCAGGGTGGCACTCACAGAGGTGCTGAACACTTTAATGGGAAGTTGGTTTGCAAAACTTCAAATCTGCCCTGCAGTTTGCTTCAGTAGAGCTGAAAACTCAGCTTGCTGAGTTCTGAGGCTGTTGTAAACCAGTTCACTGAAGTTATTGTGACCAAATGCCAGGTTTTGGAGATGTGTAACTTAAACAAATCCCTGAGGTGAAGGCCCTCCAAGCTGTTAGTTCTGTGTAGCTGAAAGGGCAGTATACAGCAGTGGGGCAGCTGCTGGGGTACAGCTTTAGATCTTCAGCTGGTTTAATTGCTGAAACAATGTTTGAGTAAAGCTTTTTGCAGTGGTGATTTGAGCATCACTTCATTTGGCTTTTTCTGCAGGATTCTTCTACAGTAAAGGCAGACAAGCTTAAGTTCAATTTTTGAATACTCTTGTGTTTTTCTTGTAACATGCAGTAGCTATAGTGAAACACTAATAAAAATAAATGCAATCCTCACAATAAAATCTTGTCTTTTTTTTTGGCAACAATGTTTTATTATAATGGAAACTATAGATCTACATGCTCATCCATATTGTTATAAATTCTTTTATCTCTGACACAGTCAGTATTTGAAGGCTGTTTTCCCTAAACTGTTGTTTTCTGCTAATAATTTTCTATTATCATGGTTGAGCCTTTGTCCCAAGAAGCAGACATGCATCAGTCCTGAAAACCATCACTGGCTAGGATTAGAAAAGGCCCAGTGTTATTTCACAGAAAGTAGTCTAAAATCTGGTAGCTGAGCCTGCTCTCAATGGAAGTTGAAGGATAACTTTCAGCAGAGCAAAGCAGCTTCAGGATCTCTTGGCCTTGCAGCTACGCCTGTGCTAAAAGATGAAATGTGCCTGAGATGTTCTCCAGTGCTGTGGCCAGCCAGTGTTACTCCATCCAGGACCTTGCAGTTGGCAGGTGCCTGTGCAGCTTTGGCTCATGATAATGGTCCCTGGGCTGCCTCAACTCCAGAACTGCATTGAGAATTGTTTGGGAAAGTGTTAACTGGCCCAGGGTAAATCATGCCAGGAATAGTTCTAACAATTTACTGGTGTAGGCAATCCAGTCTTAGAGCCCAGGAATGCATCCTGGCACTGCTGAGTTTACTGGTGAAGACATAGCCTCAGGTGCCACATGCTTTGAATAAATAATTAATTAGTTGAGCAAGTTTAAGATCTCCAATTATATGGTGTTCCTTGTTGTCAAAAAAGTCACAGTTAAGCTCTTGGCGGGGAGAGATGTTTGTCTTGATCAAAATTCACGTGCGTGCAGTGTGCTTGAAGGTTCATGTTGGAGCTTTGAGCTCTTGCAGTTCTTTTCAAAACCAAAAATGGTGATATGTGGAATAGCACACTAAGCATCCAAATAAAAACACCTGATCTTTGACTTAAAAATGATGTTTTGCATGCTCTTCCTCCCCTGCAGTGTGCACGCCAGTGGGGCTCTCGAGGATGTTTACAGTAATGGGTCAGTTGCTGGTGAAACCAACAGTAAGTGCTCCCCAGTTCTGTCCTCCTGTGCTACACAATTCTGTCCTCCTGTGCTACACAATTCTGTCCTCCTGTGCTCCCCAGTTCTGTCCTCCTGTGCTACACAATTCTGTCCTCCTGTGCTGCACAGTTCTGTCCTCCTGTGCTACACAATTCTGTCCTCCTGTGCTGCCTGTGAGAAGGTGGAATGGTATTTGGGTACTTTCATCTAGAATGCTTACACTTCTACAGAACTCTTCAGTTCATCACTTTCTAGAACCACTATTTATATACTCATCTCACATTTTTCATATAGCACAAAAGCCTATTTTTTCCCCAAAGCTTTTCTTATAATAATACAGACTTCCTCTGATTTTTCAATTTGTGTCAATGCTACTAATGTTATTAATTACCAGTATTTCATGCTGTGTTTTACCTGTGCCTGAAAAGTGTGGGCATATTCTGAGTTCAGTAGCAAAGAACACAAGAGCAAACAAAGTCTGGATAACAGTAAGGGTACCTGGGGTATACACAGATAGGTGAAATGTGGGTAGTTGTCATCTTTAAGAGCTTGTTACACACAGATGCTCTTTGGTTCATGGTCTGAATGCTGTGAGGGAAGGGAGAAGTTTGTACCACATACAAATGCTCTAGTGACTTCAGTGTCACATGTCCTAGTTTGTAGTTAGTAAAGTTTGGGTGCACTTAGATCTTGCTTTCCTTTTCATTAATCAGTTCAACCCTGGAAATACAAAGAAAATACCTACTGTTTTTATCTGTAGTCTCAAAGCACCTGGTAGCTGAGATAGACTGACTTCATTTATTTGGTTTTAGCTTATAGCAACTTATATTTTCATGAAATACTGGCTTATGTGAAAAGTTGCTTTTTAATACTTTTTTTCAAAATCTTTAGTTATTTCTGTTTAAATTGAATGTGAAGGTTGATATGATTTGAATGTAGGTCAGACATACTGTTTTGTCTCTTTAGATTGAAACTGAACATAAAAGTATTAACTCAAAACTTTAACTTTGCTTACAGTAAAGATACAATTGTGTAGCAGAATGGAATCATCTTCTGTGAAGTTCTTATTTGTGTCATTCTTGTAAAGTTGTAGACTGTATATTTAAAGTACAGGTTACAGGAGCAAAGTGAATCTGATTATGTAAGTTCAGTCAGGAAAACAAGTGCCTCTGTTACTCAGTTCATGTTTCTGTTTGCAAATACAGATCCTGGAAGACCTAGATGAGCAGATGTATATCATCACTTTAGAGGAGGAAGCAATTCAGAGGAAGCTTAATGGTATGTATGCTATTCCTGTAATGGTACTGCTTCAGATACAGTATTTAGAGTGGTTCTGGTCAGGAGTTTCTGTTGGTCAGCCTCTTCTCTCAAAACAGAAAATTTCAACATCTTAGCCTGTAACAAATGTTACAGGTGTACATTTCCTCACCAGGTTTTCCAAGATTGGTTCTTGTGTATGTGTGGTTTGGTTTTGTTTTTGAATTGTTCATCAGCTGTCTAATGTGGGAATCTCCTGAGCCTGAGAGAGCAATTGAGTCATTGTCCACCAGACCAACCTCCCTTTCTGCAAAATAGCTTGGATTGATAAGTGACTCTATTTCAGCCTTGTTTGAAGGACAATGAACTTACATTAGCAAGAGGCTTGACTTCCTGCAATACGAGTTTTTATTTCGAATTTGGAGGATTTTTTGTGTTTTCGTTGATTGGTATTTAAAATCATAGGTGGTAATCCATTAAAAATCAGAGCACTCCATTATATTCTAGGAGTTATTTGGTGAATTTAAAAAATAAAAACATTCTATTAATAAGTAAGGAAAATTAATAATTACACAAATGTTTTTATAATTACTGTATTTAAAATTTTACTTAAAATTTTGCATTTCTTGATAAGGTTTTTGTTATGAAGTGTTTAAAAACATGAAGTATGAAGCAAAGTACGAAGTTTTGACTTAGAATAGAAAGGAGTGTTTCAACAGGCAGGCACCACTTATGGAAAATTTATTGGTTCTATAAACCTGGAGATCATGTTGTACAAATCTTCTGACTTGCTTTTAACTGCATGGATAAGCCATCCATCCATAATTTATGCAATTACTGCAGTTTTGAAAACCAAGGAATTTTCATGTAAAGACACAGCACAACAATGTATGGGTCATGATGACTTATTTTAGCCCTAATTTTTAAAATTTCCTGTTTTTTCTCTCCTGCTTTTCAGTCTTCTGTCATGTATCTTAAGCTTTCCTTCTCTAAGGTCTCATTAAGCCTCCTTTCAAAATTGCTTGGTCAGGGGAAGTACCTTTGATAGCAGAGATCATGATGGTCATCTTTACTCCAGGGCTTAAAATTTCTGGAGGAGTAGTGATTTCCTCTCGCTGAAATCAGCCATCACTTCAGTTTAAAAGTAACATTCACTTTTTCAGGTGTTTATAATGACATGCTGTGTGTGCATTTACACACAGACACACAAAAAGGTGCAGGCAGTGAGTGTCTTTGAAGCTGTGATGGGGTGATGATAATCATTCTGTGTGTTTGATGTTAGCTGGGAACTGTAAAATATTTGTTACTGAATATTTTATGTTGTCATGGTGATTCTACTTGTGTACAACACAGAGCAATGACCCAGTAGTTATTCAGGAATCTATGGGAAGCAGCGTTCAGATGGGGAACGTGATTATTTAGGTGATGCTTGGCTGCTCTTTTTCTTGCAGAAATCTCTCAAGAGTTGCTTATATTGCAGTGTGGTATCACTTGTGGAGTGGACCTGGGCTGTTTGTAGGTGCCTGCTAACTGGGTATGGATTTAGGATGTGTGCTGGGAGCACCCCTAAACATCAAGCTAGGCTCTTTGTAGGTGCCTACTAACTGGGTATGGATTTAGGATGTGTGCCAAGAGACTGGATTTGCTTTCAGCACGTGCATTGGTTTTCAGTGAGAAGTGGAGCTGAGCCCACCCATATTCCATGGAGCACTCACCAGCCTGCTCTTGAGCACTGAAAGACATGGGGTTTAATGTCCTGAGACAGGAGAGGAACTGGATTCCTTCTGTTTCAGTGCTGAGGGGATGACATTGACACCCCCAAAAGGAATGCTTGAAAACCCCTAGGTTGATGTACAGAGAAAATCAAAGGACTTAAGCTGAAAAGTAAATGAAAATCTAAACTGCATATTGCATGGAGTTGGGGCAAGGTGTTATATGTGCAGGAAGATAGTTTGCAGGATTTTTGTAGTAGTTTTTTAGTAAATTTAAGCCCAGTTCTCATTATGGTGAGCATGGAAAACTTTGTCTTCTCTTCCAGAAGCCTTTCTATGCCAGAAGCATTGACATCATTGCCAGAACTATGAAGGGTCATGTTTACCATGTTTATTGTATTTTATAAAGTGTGTATAAATGGGGATGGTGCTAATTACATCAGTAAAAGGTGTCTGTGATGTTAGAGGCCATAATCTATGTTTTAGCACACAGATTGTCACCATTGCTGTATCACAGTGGATATATTCTACACACTTCCTCTGCCTTAGTTGTTGGAACTCTCCCACCATGTTGGTGGTGGAATCCGTGGTGCTTAAGTAACCCTGCTGGGCAGGTTTCCAGAAAAGTGCTCTGAAATTATATACTTTATTTATATGTATAACTAAAGAGTTGAATTTTGATTAAAATGAAGAGGACCAGAGCAGAGGCTTAAGTGATACCTGATGATTGTAAAGCTTTTCATATTTGAAAATAAATCTATCTGTGAAACTGTAGATCTTCTTTGTGGGAACTAATTTTCTTCCTCCTCAGGTGTCTGCAGTGTCTAACTGAAAATCAGAGGAGGAGGGAGGGGAAAGTTTGATTGTGTTATCTACCCCAGTATTTTTTATCTATTGAAGAGATACTGGGCTTTGGGAAAATGTTTGTTTCCAGTGTATTATATTTCAGTACCCACATCACTCCTACAGTTGAAAAATAAAGCTGGGACTTTTTTATATTAAAAGAAAAAAGTTGCCTTCAGCTATTAGTTTTCCTGAATCCAAAGAGACGGGTGGAGTAGGATCAAAAATACTTACTTGATCAAAGTTATTGGCTCTGAAGGTATCCTTACCTATGTAAGAAAGATGAAAGGTGTTGTTTTTATTGCACACTAGTAACAGTGTAATTTTGAACTAATTGGTGGTGAACTGCCAATCACCTTGGGGGAATGCAAATAGATACTCTTACAATTTCCTTTGAGGTACTGAAATCTTATGTCGGGGCTGGAAGAAAAACAGAATAATACCGTTAAATTGACCTTAAATGAGCTGCTTTGTGGCTTTCTTGGAGAATCCCTTCTAACTTTTCATTGCTAGTCCAAACAAGTCTCGTCTACCAATTTGATTTATTGGCTAGACAGCGCTGACATTGAACTTTGTGCGTGTTTGAAATAAAGCTAATGTTAGAGAGCTTTTAAGAATTTAGCTGCATCCTTTCCAAATACTCTTTTGACTTATCTGAAACCTTGCCTCTCTCATAAAATATCCTTTTGTGTAGCAACCTGTTGTTTGCAACTGTTTTTAAGGAGGAACTACAACAGCACTTAGATATGATTCAGAATTTCTCCTGACCTGTCTTAATGACCTTCTGTGATGATGCTGATTTGTTGGATAGACTCCCATGAAATCAGTGTTTTCAGCTCTGGAGTTTTATGTTGAGGGGAGAAAAAAACATAGATATATATTGAACTGAGCTTTTCCTCAGAGACTCCTAAATCAATTACAGAAAAGAAGAAAACACCAGATGCTGACTTGAGTTTTCCTTCTTGTTCAGGCACTTCCATGAAAGTTCTTTTCCCACTGAGCTCTATTGCTCTTCTTTTTCCCACCTAACAGTAATTAGTCATTCCATAAAACAGATGTTTTAGACTTTTCTGGGGGAAATGCATCATTACAAAAGCTTATTTTTATAGTGATAATTAGCTTGGGTTTTTTAAAGACTTTTTCTGAAAACCTGTGTATTATGATTAATTTTTAAAAAACCAGAGAAATGGAACTGACATTTGTATTTCAGGCACTTCAATTGATAAGATGTTGTAATGGAACAGTGTCTGTAGGTCTTACATAGAATAGTAAGAATAGTCCTGAGATTAGAGTTATTTATATATTTGAAGCCCTGTAAATATTATCCCATATTCATTATGTCACTGATATTCAAGATAAAAGTTTAGAGAAAGCACAGAAGTTGCATGTTATATGCAAAAATGTGTGTGAAAGAAACATTCAGTTAATTCAATTAAACATTTAAAATTTTTAACAGTTGGATGTTTCATTGGTGATTTGACTGCATTGAACAAATCAGTATTTCATAGTCTGCAATAAGAAGAGTCACCTTTTTTCTTGAGGTTGCTGGATGGATGAGGAGACAACAGAAAATAAGGAAATAATGGGACTGGACTACAAAGTAGTGTTGCTGTGCCAGCAGCCTAAGTGCTGTTTAGATTTTGTAGGCAAGTGATCAAGATATCAGATAAAAGCCTGGATAAGAATATTAATCTCATATAAATTTATTAGAGACTGTTTAAGAGGAGTCCATGGAACATGGTGCTCTTACAGGTTAGCCCATGGCCAGAGGTGAGGCTGAGGGTAGGGAATGGCCAGCAGGTGAAAGGTGTGAATGTAAATCAGCAAAACAACAACAGAGAAGACTTTGGGTTTAAGACCTTGAACTGTCACTGCCATGGTGTATTATTGCAGAGTGAAATTAGCCTGGAATAGACAGGGAAAATATGAGCCCTTAACTTATTTTCAGGTGAGATTGCCTCACTTTCATCCCTTTTACTTCTGGACAAAGGTGAGTGGAGAGTTTCTAACTTATCCCAGGTAGAATATTTCCAGGTTGTGATTGCAGAGAGTGAAAGCTAAAGCAGAAATAATGGGATGGGAACTGAAACAGCAGATTTCTAGTCAGCATTGCAGAGCTGTGTCAGTGCCTGAACATTGTGCAGGGCTTGTAGAGGAGCTGGCATCAAGGAGGGAAACCTCGTTGTGCTTGCACTGGAAAAGAGGAGTGGTTGGAAGAGAATGGAAGATTGAAGAGGAAAAGGATGGAGAGAGAAAATGTGCTGGGTTTCCTCAAGGCTGCCTAAGGATAGGAAGAAAAGTTAATGAGCACCTTTTAGGCAGAAAATTAGTAGGAGAAAAGGGATTAATATTATGGTTGCCAGGGCTAAGCTGATGTACAGGAGAAAGTCTGGGGAGTTGCACAACAAGGACACATGTATGTTGTGAACTGGAAAGTGGAAGAGGTTGGTCTCACGGTGGCTGTGGGAATATCTGACTGTGGCATGGAGGGACAGAGCAGGCACTGGTATGAGCACAAGACCCATCAGCAAGCAGGTCAGCAGTGTGGAAACTGAGCTTACTGAGGAAAGGGAGGGAGGGAGGGAGGGGCAGAAGCTGAATCTGGAGCTCTGGTCGTTTTAAAGGCAAAGGTCTACTTTTGCTAAATAATAGTGCTCCTGAAGGGCATCTGGGGATTCTTTACATCTTGATACCAGAATCCTGTAGGGAATCCAGAATGAGGCATTTGAGACATCCTGTCTGTCACTCTATGGCTGGTCATTGGACTTGTGTGAAAGTTCAGCATCAGCAAAAAGGCTGGGATCACAGGAGATGGTGCTGCAACCTCTGTGCTGAACTCTTCTGGGTAGACTCTGCTGTTTTTGAAAAGTATTTGAAGAGTTTCAAAGAAACACCTGCAGCTTAAAGTCACAAGTGCTTAATGTGATATTTCCTAAATCCAAATTGTCACTGTGTGCCTTGCAGTCACATCCAAAAGAAAATCATGTCTTTTGTTTTAAAAGGTGTCTCTTCCACAGTGGAATACCAGACAGTAGAGTTGGAACGTGAGCTTGAAAAAGTGAGAAGCAAGAAAACAAATCTAGGTAATGAACTTTCTAGTGTTTCATGTAGATTGTAGTTTACTAAATGACATTAAGGTGCTGTGTTTAGTTTGGAGCAGTTGCTTGATTGATTCCAGTTTGTTCTTAAATAAATTTGTGCATTTGCAAATATGTTAGATGAAATCATTGCACCCATCCAAGAAAAAAAAATTAAGCAGGGAGTCTGATTTGGATCTTATTTTAACATTATTTTAGAGAAATTGTAACACTTCTTTGCATGTAGCTTTTCATGTATAATATGCTTATGAATATTTGGGCTAATTGATGACATTACTTTCCTTTTTGTGTTTGAGTTATTTCTGTAAAATTCAAACAGGGTTTTCTTTTCTTTTCTTGCACATGCTAATGATGTCCAGTGAAGTTAGTTCTGTCTTTCCTGCCTTACAGGAGGAAAATACTATTTAAATATCTGAAATTCTGACCTTTAGATCATGCTAAAATATACATGTAAACAGTGTAAATTCATCAGATTTTAAACTTTGTGGAACTGCTGTGTGCTAGGGGAAGAAAAAGGTTAAGGGGAAACATGCCTCTAAGAAAAATCTGCTTGTCTGTCTCCCCAGCCTTTCTCTAGAGAAGTTTCATGTTTTTGCCATTGCTTTGTAGAGCTGTACAGGTGGATGTTCTTATGAGCTGGTTGATGTTTGCTCCAGATCAGGATACTGTTGTTACTTATATTTATAGTGAGCTTATGGGTAGCTGAATGATTCTTCCTTGTTTTATTCTAAGTTGATCTATGGTATTAGGCTTATGTTTTTTCTCTTCTGAACAGAACGTAGGAAAAAAGCTTCTGCTTGGGAGAGGAATTTAGTTTATCCAGCTGTCATGATATTGCTCCTGACTGAGACAGTAAGAATTTTCTTTTTTTTTTTCCCAGCAAAAAGTATAAAGTGTTCTTTGGTTATTTGAGAAAATAGTTTTAAATTTTTTGAGTGAGGATTGTTTAAGCAGCAATCTTGATATTCTGTTCTTGACCATTTAACAAAAACCAGACATTATGGAGTCTGGTGAGGAGGATAAATTTGAAGATTAAAAATGTGGAATACTTTTCAATAACAAGACTGTTTCCTCTTTTTTATAGTCCTTTTCAGTTCTTTTAGTCGCTCTCAACATTCTTTACCTGTTGGTTGATGAGACTGCAATGCCCAAGGGATCAGGGGTAAAGTCATCTTCTCTTACAATTTTTATATTTTTAGTAAAGCTTTGGATGCCTTGCAGAAGTGCAAGTGAGAGATTTTGCTTTAATAACATGGAAACCAATGAGCCTTGACCTTGACTTTGCTTCTAGGTTTCATTCCTGTGCCCACACAAACATTTATTACGTGCCATGTTGTAGTGAGTGCTTACTAAAATAGTGCAGAAGCTTTATGTAGATACAATGATGTGCAACAGCAGATCAGTAATCTGGAGTTTGCAGTTCTGTCTTTGCAATGCATTTCACTGCAGATTGAAAGCTGCTGGTGCCATTGCATGGAGTGGGGGGACTTGGAATGTGGGACATCAGAACCCCCCTGAAACACTGAATTGAGAAAAGGCTGTATCACCTATAAGATGTTACATGTTGTGTTCTTGGTAGAAATTAACTTTATGAACTCTTGCTTGTATCTTTTATTTAATTATGCAAAGTGTCTTTTTCCTTGTAGGGACCTGGAATAGGAAATGCCTCCTTATCCACCTTTGGCTTCGTGGGAGCAGCACTTGAAATCATTTTGATTTTGTATCCTTTCTGAAGGAATTCAGTCTGTTAACAAGTATTCTGTCTAGTTTTCTGGGACACTGATAATACACTAAGACACTGGCTTGGAAAGAAGAAAGATAGGTCAGTCCTTCTCAAACACTTGTTTTTGTTTCTTTTTTTCTTTAGTTCTTAAGACTTTTGGGAGACTGCTGAGAACTTGAGTGAAACTTGCATTCCTTGGGGGTTCCTTTTTTCCTTAATTCTCACAGCTATCTTATGGTATCTTCTGTCGTGGGCTTCTACAGTCTTCGTTTTTTTGAGAATTTCACTCCCAGGAAGGATGACACAACCATGACAAAGGTAAGGTACAATCTGGGATGGGCATGGCCCCCTCCTGGCTTTCTTGCCACCCAAGACAAACTGACTCTCTTAGTAATTGCCCTGAATGGCTCATTTGCAGTGATCGGTATTTGTTTGTAAGCTGCGTAAACACAAACTGGAAGATTGTCAAAATGCTGAATGAGTGGGAAAAAGGATGTGCTCTGTTTAGTTTGGATGGCATCCATTCACTTGTAAAAAGCCAGGAATGGCAGAGCTTGTTAACTGGCTATAGAAAAGCAAGTGAAAGAACTTCCTTCAAAGGGAACTTATTGCTAATGAGTAACTTTGATTGTGTTAACTGTACTTCAGGGACCTTGTTTGAGATCTGAACAACGTGGTTGCTAGAAGTAATACAGACAAAGTAATTCAAATTTGAATAATGAAACTAAGACTGAGGACAGCTATTCAGCAACATTTTGCAATCTGAAGCTAATTCGACTTTCTACAATTTAGCACTGGCTTTAGCATAACCAATGCTGTTTCCTAATTGGGAGGAACATGCCTAGGTTTTTGGCAAAATATTCCCCCAGCTGACATGGGGAAGTGATCAGTAACCAAGAAACAGATGTTGAATTTAATTATTTTTTCAATATGTTTCATTGTTTCTATATATTTTTTTTATTTAAGTAATGGATTAAGGTACTTTTACTACAAATTGTTGGAAGTGAGAGAGTGGGTATGCACACAGAATGATGAGAGGAATAAGTAGTAGAGAGTTGGAATGTTCTTAATATTTCCTATTGATTGTTTACAGTACATCAGGAATAGTGTGGAGATAAATAGTGAATGTACAAATGTCTACCTACTTTCAAGTTCACTTTTTTTCCTTTTGGCTTCTGATAGAACTAGACCTGAAGAAAATGATCCCTTGTGAAAGAAAGTTTCAATTACTCTTTTTAAAGGCTTTACAAGAACAGAAGAAATCTAACAGCTGTGAATTTTTTTGTATTATTTAAAGTAGACAACAGGCATTGAATTGAAAGGAAGCTCTTTGTTGTAATTTTTTAAATAGTGCTAATCCTGCAAGCAGTTACATCCAGGGCTTAAGCTGATGTATGTCATCCATTCTAAGCCCATGGAATTGTTCTTTTATAAAACATTCACAGGAAGTAAGTAAACAGTTGATGCTTTGCAACATGGTTGTTTTGAATAATTTTGGATCTGAGCATACACAACACTTTGATTAGAAGCACATGAATACATATTTGATTTTTTTTCTTGGAATCATTTTTGTCTTGTGTAACACCATGTGGAGAGGAGTGACAGAAGTCAGCAAGACTAACAGTATGTTACAGTAAATTGCTTTAGGTTCAATTTGAAGAATGTGCCTTTTAAGAATTACTCTTTTTCATCTTGACCGCTGTTTTTCTTTGTGTTCCCTTCAGCAATCTCATTTATCATTTAAATGCTGTTTGTCGTTTTCAAACAGATAATTGGAAACTGTGTCTCAATCTTGGTGCTGAGCTCTGCTTTGCCAGTGATGTCAAGGACCCTGGGTAAGTGAAATGGAAGTAACATCATAATAAAGGATGTTTAATTAAAAAAAATACAAGAAAAAAGAAGAGCCTGTACCTGTATTTTTCATAATAGGTATGTAATTTGCCATCGCTTTCAGATGAAAAAACATGTATCTGTGACCTTCATTTCTACACAAACATTAACTGTTGAACATACATCTATGTACATGAACTGCAGAACATGCTTTCTAAAAAGAAAATGATGCTAAGCATTTTTTAGAGAATGGATTATTTTAAGAAGGTCAGATTTGAAACTTCTTAAAACAGGAGATTGTCAGATGAAAAGATAGGAAAACTGATTGTCCAGAGCAGTCTGAAATAGTTTCATGTTCACTGTGAAATTAGTGCTTAGTTCCTGTCAAGAAATACATTTGGGATTTGGTGTCTGAAATTCAAGGTAACACTGAGTGCAAATGGCTTTTTAAAAAGAGTTAATGACTCTTCATTTAAGTTTTTTAATCAGCAGTGATACAGGCTACTTTAATTTCCCCTACAATAACATGCTTGTATTTTTTGTTAACTTCTTTTTTCAAATTTAACAATCTGGAGTCTACCATAGCAGAACTGAACAACTCCTGATTTTATTGCTAAGGATTGGCAGTAGCATTTGAAGTAGTTAATCTGTTATAAGCAGTTGGAAAAATGTGTTGTATCTTCACTTTAATTGGGTAATCTTCAGCTTGAATTCTTGGAGCTAAATTGCAAGGCTATTACATGTTTTAAGTAGTGCAGAATCCTTGTAACTAATGTGAATTTCATTGGGAACATTAAATAGAACAAAACAAAAATCTTCACCTCAGGCTGTACAAGTCTTAAGTACAAGCTTAGAAGTTTGAGCTCAGGCCCACAGACCAACAGTGTGTGCTCTGTAGTTCTCTAGCTGCTCTTCCTTTGAGGGAAAATACTCTTGAATCAAGAGTAGTTCGTGGTTTTCCAGTATTATACTGGATATTCTCATGCTGTGTATGAGGGGATATTTTAATAAATTATAAATCATTTTGATAGCAAATAAAAAAACCTTCTGCAGTGCATTTTGGAGAGTTGAATCTTAAAGTAAGCATTCCAGAACTTAACAAAATCGGTTGTAAAACTTCACAAAAATTCAAAAGGGTAATTCAAGTACTTAAAGCAGTGCACTTTTAAAATATAACCAGTATAATAAAGGTCTAAGAAGTAAAATAATTTTAGCATATGGAGCCATAGAAAAATCACTGTTTTAGAATAGAATTGTAACATAAGTTTGTGTCCACTAAGTTACTGCATTCAAGACTTGTTTAAAAGAAAACAAAATTAATTGTTAATGATCCATGAGATTACCAGTTGATAATAACCAGATTCTGTGGGAGCAAGTGTACACGCTGGGTCCATTGTTGTCTCATAGGAAACAGATTAATGGTAAAACTCACTTAAAAACCAGACTAACAAGTGAAATTCCTGAATAGTTTGCCATAGAGATAAATAAAAGAAGAAAAAAGATGGAACAATTAACACACAGCTAACAAATGCACAGTCACAGCTGTCCAAACAGGATTAATAGAGTGTATTAGAGTACAGTGAGTCATGTGGTGCTTTTGCAGAAATATCAATGTGTGTTGCACTACATGTCACCTCCCTGTGGCACTGAATAGATGAAAAGAAATAAATATGTTAAGCAGATTCATAGTCTTTTCACTTTATTAAAAAAGCGAGATTCTAGGCTATAGAGAAAAGACTAGACTTTATCCTTATGGGAAAGGTGAAAAAGCAAAAGTTATCTAATACATGCACTGACCTTTTTCAACTTCTAAAAATGGAAATAGTTTCTTCTTACATGTTTCATAGCATTCTAATTAGATATGTAGGTGGTGGATATGTCTAATCTGTCATTCTTCTAGAACTCCAGGAAAGTTTTAAACTAAAAGAAATGATTTTACTTAAGTAAGTTAACTCATATTTTCCCAGAAGTTTTCAGCCTTTTAGTAACCCTTCAGAAATGTTTCCCACCAACACCATATTGCTAATCACAGAGAAACAAATTAGGAACAAGGCTATTAAAGTCAAGAATACAAAAACCAGAGAATTCCAGAGAAAATTGAACTTTCTGGTGTATGGAAGTTTTTCTAGAATTCTACACTTGAGTATTATGTACAAGTAAATGGGGATTTTAAATTTATTTGTGTGTGCTGTCTAAAACCTACCATTTGGTTTTTGTTTAATAGTTTATTTGGTAAAATTTCACCAGCTTTTGTGTGTATATATTTGTGCCACTACATATGCAAGTTTTTGTTCAATTACTGAAGAGTTATTAAAAGTCTTGTTTTTTTCTCTGTGGGCTGAGTAGATAACTGCTTCTGTAAGAAGGACATGAAAACCTTTTTAACCTTTTTCTCCCATGAGTTTACAGACTGTTACTGTGTCACTTTTCTGATGAGCAGTGACTTTTTCTGTTTGTAAGAAGAAATTGAATGTAATTTATGGACAATAATTTTCCCACCTACTGTAACAGAATTGTCAGGGTTCATTCCTGTTTGTCCTGGTGACACTGCTCCATGGCTCACTGTTCTTCTGGACCTCTGTCAGTCCAGGAATGTTTTTCCTTTCCCAGAGAACTCCAGTGCTCTGCCTGTTTTGTTCCTTTTCCTTTAAAGTTTTGGGAGCCTGTACATTCAAACCTGACTTTCTTAATTTTCAAGTGGCTTCACAATCTGGCCAAAACACTGCTGCTTTGGAAATGCTAGGGACACTGTTTGCCTTCAAGCAGGAAAGCAGCTCTGTGTTTATTGTCCTTCATCTCTTTACCAGTTAATTCAGTTGTTTTTTTCTTTCTGTGCTAAGACCTTCTGTGCTTTTTTAGTATTTCTCCCTGCCTCTTTTGCTGTTTTGATCAGTGATTGTTTTGTTTCATCCTTTGAAACTTCTTTTCATTTCAGTATTTTTCCATTAGGTACCAAATTTAATTTCCATGTTTTAATTTAAATGACAGATGCTGAGTATAAGAAGTGTGTATATTTAACATTGTGATAACTGCCTTGCAAGTCTTGGGTGTGCAGATACAGTGAGATTCCTAAGTGTCAGGTTTGCCCTTGGAAGAAGTGCAGCTGACCCTTAATTCTGTCTCTTCATTTGTTATCACTTTTGAAGTCAGTTTTTAAAAGTCCCGAAACACGTTCAAAATAAGATAATAGAAAATCAGGGGCTTTCAGGAGTTTCAGAGCCAGGGCTACTTTGTGATTGCCTCATTTGCTGCTGCCATTTTAGTTCTGGGATAGGGTCAGCTTCCTGCTTTTGCACTGTTGTGAGAGCGCACTTCCCTCTGACATCATCTGTGCCAAAGGTTTTTTGGGAATAAAACAGCTTTTGAATTCTAGATAATGATAATGTGGCTGTCATTTCAATGTTCTGCCATGTGTTCAGTATTCCATGACACCTGACAAAGGAATAACCTGTGGTTCTTCCTCTTCTGCCTTCTGCCATGGGCCCTACACCTTGTGGATGTTTCCATGTTTCAGAAAAATGTTGTTCACTTAATTATTGATTGACAGGCCTTTGATCAGCACAAAGCCCCAGTGTCAGGGTTGGAGGTGCCCTGTGAAGGACACCTGTCAGCGCCACCTTTCAGCCTCTTTTCCTTCTGTGCAAATGCTCCATGGCTGTAGTGGTGGGTGGATCCAGGAGAAAAACTGCACTTGGAAAGATGTTTTTAAACTTTGGTTTCAAAAGCAGCGCTCTGGAAGAACACTTTAGAGCTTAGTGTTTACCATAAGATGTTGTGGCTCTCACAGAAAGGCTGTTTGCTACCTGTATTTTTTTAAAAAAAAGCTCAAGGTGGATTTCATTTTTTTGTGGAATCAGTAAGGATTTTGTCAAAACTGAGGTTTCAAGCAGTTTTCATACTAAAGCTGATTTTTTCCTAATTACATTTACTAATATTATAAAAAGAGTTCTTACCTAGAATGGACAATTCATTTCAAATCCTATTATTCAAGCATTTCACTATGAAATTTAAAAAACATTTTGATAAAGGTGTCTTACAGTTTTATAGTGACCAACAAACATTGTCTTGTCTGTTTAACCATATGTCTTCTGGTGTGCTAGCTGTAAGAATTTTGCATCCAAATGTAAATGTAATAGAAGGAAAATTTTGTGTTTCCTAAAAAAAATGTTACGATTATTTTGATCTAAATCTTGTATCCAATTTAACAGGAATCACCAGATTTGATCTCCTTGGAGACTTTGGAAGGTTCAACTGGCTGGGGAACTTCTACATTGTGCTATCTTACAACTTGCTCTTTGCTATCATGACAACGTTGTGTCTGGTCAGAAAGTTCACGTCTGCTGTGCGAGAGGAGCTCCTGAAGGCATTAGGTAACACAGCCCTGAAAATTCACTCTGTGCTTCAGCATCCCTTTCTCCACCACTGACACCATGATGTGCTACTGCTAAAGTTCTGTCACAGCTTACAGAATACTTTTTTTTCTGGAAATTTCTCTAAGTTTAAGTGTGAGGGTGAATAACGTGTTGTTTTTTGAAGAGTCCAGAGCTAAGGTACAGTGTTGATTTCAGTGATATGCCTGTGGCACTTACTGACCTCCAGTTGGATTTGCAGTCTTTGGAGAGCACAAAACATTCTCATTGCTAGGAGCAATTATTCCACATTAAAACTTCATCTTGTGTATGGGTCGTCTTTCTTTTTTGTATAAATCAACTTAGTAGTTCCCTATAAATAGTTAGCAGAGATCTCAACTTTGTTGTCATACTTTTTTTTGAACATCTATTCAGAAAATCGTTGTACAGAATGTACAGAACCCTAGTAACTGGCTGAGTAAAACCTGTACTTGATATAATCAAAAATTCAATCAAATTTTGCATTGATGTTTCTTGACCATTGAAGAAAGGATTGAAACACATTTGAGACTAAGAGCATAAAATATTTTTTATTTTTTTTATTCTTGTCACCCCATCTTATCTTTACTAATTAACAAAGCTCCTCTCTCTTTAGATCCCTAGAGTAGTATTTGCTTAAATTGAGAGGATTAATGGTGAAACTTTAGTGTTTCTTTGTAGCTGAGGATTCAGATAGAATCATCTAGAAGGTACTGATGTTAGTTTTCACTGTTTGAGTTGTGATGCTGAAACAAAATCCAAGCACTTCCCAGAATCCCCGTGGAAGATAAATTTAAAATTGTTGTTAAATAATTAGAAATAAAGTGTTTAATAAAAAATTACAGATGTTGAAGGCAGATTAAGAAACATAAAATGCAAGCACAGTAGGGTAATGATCATTGGATTTGACACAAATAGGGAGTCACAAACCCTGAAATGTGCAGGTTCCTGGCACAAACTGGGTTTGTTTTCAGTGCTGTATATCACAAACCATGTCTGCTAAAAACTGTCCCATGGAATTCAGAGAATGAGAACCAAAATTGGCTCGTGACCAAAAAAATCACGTATTAGGACTATATTATAAGTAGTGCAGTCAGTTTTGGAATTCCAATTCCAACAATGCAATAAGTTTAACTTTTCACATCATGGCACTTCAGTGTAGTCTACACAAAATGAATAAGAAACTCTTCCCAGGTTTGATCCCAGCTTTAGAGAACTTGATAGGAGACTTTAGAGAGAAACTGTACCAAGCAAGGAAAGACTGACTTCATGCCTCTTTTGAATAAAATATGGCTAAATTTGCCATCTTTCCTCCTGTCCCTCCCCCTCAAAAAGGATAATTTAACTGCTTGCCTGGGGCAGGATGTGACACTTGAATTAGCACTCACGATAGAGAATTGTGCAATAAGAACAAATGGCTGGAAACAGAGATAAATCAGTAATAGTGTAGTATAAAAATGTAATTTGACATATAAATAGTTTAGAGAAGTGATCTGGTCATCACAAATGACATTAAGATCAGCAGTGGGTGATATACAAAAAAGATGTTATAGTTTAAAATAATTAATAATTAATTATCAAATTAATAAAATGAATAATTTTAGGTAATTATTTAGGTATTTTTAGGCAACAGGGTAAATTATTGCCAGTCTTTTCTTGGTTCTTAATATCTGAGTCTGTGATTTAAGCAATGGAAAGTTAGGGTCCTCTGTCTGCCATGCTTTTAATGGATTTTCTCACTTAAACAACACTGAGGGAATTTCCCAGAAGCAATTCTTACAGGAGGTAGAACATCAGTTCTGGTCTTCAGCAAATGTGAAGTCTGCAATCACAAAGTAGGATTTGGGTTCTCTGTGTTCTTTTGAATGCCTGTGTGCATGAAACAAGGGGGAGTCTAAGTTCTTCCTTATTCTGTAATGTTTTGCAGGATTAGATAAACTTCACCTATCAAACAATCCAAGAGACTCGGAGACAAAGCCTTCTGCAAATGGCCATCAGAAAACACTGTGATAACAATCACCTGCAATCAGCAGAGCTGAAAACATCAACCTCATGGCATTCCTGTCATCTCATCAGCATTTTTATATTGCCTTTAGTTGTTAGTTAGGGTCGAGCCTTGTCTCATTTTGATGCTGTGTGCTTCTGAGGAAGTTAGGTGTATCAGATTCTTCTCTTTCCAGTGAACTTTTGGTCTGCTTGTTTATTTCCCAGGAGGTTAATGCAGGAGGTGCCTTGAAGACTGGAAGCTGAAGAGAAAAATGCATTCCTTTTTATTTGTTGAAAGTCTCACATCTTTATTTTCAGACTTGCTACCATTTGAATGCACAGTACCTCCTGTGTTATACAAACACAGCTGTAAAGAATAACTTTGGGACTTGATTAAAATAAAAAAAGAAAAAGAAGAAAACATACACTTGAAGGCCAATATGACCCTCACTGGAAATGCAAAGTAGCTGGAGTAGGTACCCATGACAGGAGATGAACAGCTCTACTGAGAGTGAGTTAAAAAGGACAGGAGAGATCCCAGTGCTGGATGCAGTAGGCTGTGTCATGGTGCCTTCTCAGCAGGCCAGTGTGTTTTCAGCTCTCTGTCCTTAGCTCCAGATGCCAGCTTGCTTTACTGGCGGTCAAACAATGTCTTACAGAAGTCCAAGATGAAGATTAACTTCAGTGTTCAATCTGAGCCTAGTATGCTTTGTAAAAAGCTGTGTAGACTGTCTGTCACAGCTCTCAGTTCTGTGAGCTGTTGTGCCCTGGAGGTCCCTTTCCCTACCCAAGACCCTTGTGAAATTTTTGATGAGCTACTGTGTGTAAGCAGTACCTGGAATCAATGCAAGGAGCACAGGCCTAGGAGGCTGCAGTTGCAGTTTTCTACAATCTTTAATTTGAAGTAAATTTCTCTGAGTTTATACTTCAGTTACCAGGATTTCTGTTCAGTGGCATAACCCAGTTATCTGTCACTAGCCTGTTTTTTAATGTACACATGTTCATGTATATAGGCCTGTATGTGTAGATATCATAAATTAAGTTCTAAGGTTGTAGAGATGACAGTAGGTGGTTTGGTAAGTAAAACATGTGTGTGCAGTCTTGGTAGTTTGAATTGCTGAAGTGTTGAACTGCTCAGAGGCCTTAGATTCAAGATGGCATCAGTGGGTGATAATGTCCTTTCTTGTAGCATTTCCTTGCAGCCTTAGGAATCCTTTAAGCAGTTTATAGTAAAGAAAAATACCAAGTAAGTATTCAAAAGTCTGGTTGCACTTTTGTCCTGCTCAGCCACAAGTAATCTCCAAACAGACTGGAATGGGGACACCTTCAGTGAGTGCCCCTTCATGTGGGGAGCCAGAAAATTTTCCTGTTCAATTCCTATTTCTGTGAAACAAGTCTGCCTGTCTGTAGTTTGAGGTCTTATATTCATTGGTGACAACTTGGTTTCCAGTGTGGTTCCAAAATAAGGTAAACCTTGTGTCAGAAACTCTTTGGCTGTTCTCTTGAGATGACTGCTCTGGGCTGTAGGCCTTATTGCTGTGTGTGTGAATGTCTGCTTGTTTTTGTTTCCCCAAAAGTGCTTCAAAAATCATGCTCCAGTACACATGAGGATTTATCATTTTTCAGCTGCCTTTTCTGACTTGAACTGGGGCATAATGTAAATATTTCTGTAGTAAATATGATGCTAGAGGATTACTTTTTTTTGTGTGTGTGTGATCAGTATAAATTCAAGGTTTATTGAACTGACTATTGATGTGTTGTATCAAGTCTTGGAAGAAAAAGTAAAATTATTTGATTTCGCTAAGATTTACAAGCATCTTTTCTCTTGTTTAGTGCTGACACTTTAGTGAGAAATCTTTATCTGAGTCAAAGTTCTGCAACCATTAGCAGAGAGCTATAATTCAAAGTTGTTCTAAAAAGAGTTTATATTTAAAATATTGGGAGATATATTATTAGGGGCATCAGCCAGGTATTCTCAGAGCTTGTAGCCTTATGTATTGGCATCATAGTTAAAACTCAGTGAAATATTTCCACTTTTCCATGCAAGTCATTGTATGACCAAAATTGTCCTCATGTCTTAACGGGGTGGTGAGCTGTGGTGTGTGAGGCCAGTTGGCTTTTAGATAACAGATATTTCTGTTACAATGCTAAGACATTTAATATACTCTGAAGAAATTAATATTAGGAATAAACCTAGGAGTATGAACCAGCATAGGTCTTGCTCTTTGTGCCTTTGGAGGGATGTTTGTCATGGCATCAGTGACCCAAGAACACAGAAAAAGGTGGATTTTAACGTGTGTGTGGCTTCTGCAAGTGAGTTGGGCAATTACTTCAACTGAGCAGGGGCAGTTCCTGCTGAGAAGCACTCAAGCTTCAGGCAAGACTTTAAAATTCTTTTTCAGAACAAATGTTAGGGCCTTGACTGTGCCCTCCCCTTCTGCTGGATTCTGCAGGCAGATGCGTGGGTTAAAGCTGCATTAGGGAAAACTTGACACTGGACTCTGTGGGATGGTTGAGCTGCTGTGTGGTTTCCAAGATGGGTGAGAAATTCAGAATTACCCTGGCAGTGTTGTGTTTTAAAATCAACTGCTGATATTGTGACATTAAAATATGCCTTTGGCCTTGAAGATGACGTGCTTATGCAAAGCTTTGTCACTGCATGCAGGACACAGGTCACTGTATACTTCTCACAGAATCATATGGTCACTTAAATACAAACAACTGGTAATTCATTAATGGATATTGACAATACATTCCTGTATTTGACTCATGTAGAGTCAGGTGGTCTATACCTTCAAGGTACATACAGCTGATCTTAGTAACATTAACATCTGCCTCACTTCTTAGGAGGCAAAAAGCACATCAATGCTTCCATCTTCAACTAGATACCACACAAGACCAAAAAATAGGTGTAAACTGAATGTTTTTAGGTTAGCTGTTTTTTGTCTTTTTTCTGTGTTGGTAGCACAATATTAAATGCAATTGCAGAACTGTAATATTTGTGGGATTTCTAAGCATGAAGCACACATGCTTATCACTTTAAGCTAAAAAATAGTAGTATTGGTTACTGTACAAGTGACAGTTTTGCATTCATAGGGAGCTTTGTTTACTGTCTGTAATGTGCTGTTTATCTTTGGCCCTGTTGCTCTGATCCCTTTGACCTTGTTGGCTGTTTTAGTGTCATAGAAATTAAAAGATTTGACAAGTGGTTTTCCTTGTCTGATTCCCAAGTACCCCTGGAGCACCAGTGGAGGGAGGGCTGGGCTGCCCACACAGGCAGGGAGGAGCTCCTGCAGCAGGTGCTTGGCAGAAGGGACATGGTGAGAGATCCTGGGGACACCAGGGGTGTCACATCTCCCTTGTGTCACCAGGGGTGTCACATCTCCCTGGTGTCACCAGGAGTGTCACATCTCCCCGGTGTCACCAGGAGTGATGGGTACCAAGGCCCTGCAGCCCCTGTCCCTCCCGCCATGTCTCTGCCACTCACCCCTGAGGCTGTGCAGCAGCTGAGGCTGCTTGAGGTGCCCACATGTGCCCAGTGCTGTGTAGTGAAGACATGATGGGCCTTTTCTTTAAGAATTTGCAGTCTAAATTGGAAAGGGATAAGGTAGAAACAGAAAGCAGTTGGCCTCTTCCTGCATGTGGCTTTCCTTGAGTTCTTGTAGCATGCTCTAGGTTATTTCCCATCTCTTCTCCCTCTCCCAGAAGTGGGGTGGTGATGTATGTACAGCAAATGAGCCTTACCCTTAGTGGACTGGCATCTAAAATTTTGAAGTAACAAATACAGGAGAACAGCTAAATCCTGTTTAACATATTGTCTGATCTTGAAAATAGCATTTTTTTTAAAACCAGGGGGAAATAATCTAGGCAGAGACAGGACGTTAAGGCCACATAAATAACCTCTTCAAAAAGAAATGTGCTTAGTTTTGTTTTAAAAAGTGTTGATGTGAACTGTGAAGCTTCAATTGCTTAAATGAAATAAGATTCCCTACCTCCTAGTATTAGGATTTTTGTTGTTATTTTAGTGCTGAGTTGAGACAAGATTGCCTACACTGACTTCCCTCCCCAACCCATGAACACTGAATTTGCTATTGGTAAGCTGGTAGGTTATTTCAGTCACATTGTCAGATTTGAACTTTACAAAAATGCTACTTTTGAATTTATCCCATTCAGCAAGAGCAAACTAAGGCCACAGCCACCAGCCACACAGTGATACCTTGTCTATCCCCTTTTCTACTTTGCCCCCTTGAGATAGACAAAACATGAAACAGCAGAAGAATCCACATAGATTTGATTTATGCACTGTAAGAAAACATACCAGAAGGCAACTTTAATGGAAGGCTTTTAAAATATTTCACAATTGAAGGACCTAGAACTCTTCTTTCAAAGAGAAAGAAATGGGTATCATTAGTATACAAATGTCAATTGTATGTTCTCTAAATAAGCCAGTAATTCACTGACACTGAAAAAAATTTAATCGCTTCTTAAAATCTCCTTTGTGATTCACAGTGAAACAGTATCTTGGACTTTAATAGAAGCCTGTGGACTTGTGAAGGTATCTCTGTCTTGGCAACAGAAACCTTAGGATGCTTGCTATTTTGTGTTAACTGCCATATTTTATCAGTCACTTTTTAGCTTCATTTATTGCTTATGATTTTTTAAAATATGCATACCATTATATGTTTTGACAAATACAGAAGGTGACTCCAAACAGTCAAAGAGTGTGAGAAATATCCTGTAAATGCTGATATTCTTGACACACTGAATTCCAAGCTATTTAGAAACTATCTTATGAAGGCCTTACATCAAATAGAAATTAGGAAATCCTAATTCTTAAAGGCTTTTAGGTATCTGAATGTTGATATGTACCTACTTGAGCACTTTGGAATGCTGCTTCTGGATGGTTGTTGATCACTGACCCCAAGCACTGCTGTTGCTTTTCTCCCTACCCCCATAACATTGTTTTATAGTCAGCATCACTGGATGAAGCTCCTTTCTTGGGCTTTATTTTGCATTCCTCCTCTATTCCCTGCTTCCATAGATAGCAGCTATTGAAGTATTGGGGCACCTGCTTTGATTTTAATATATTTCTTTTTCCACATAGAGAGATATTCCCTAGTTAAAGCTTTTCTTCCACTACAAAAATGTTCACTTCTATGAGTTTGTTTTTAACCACTAGATTCCATTGAAGCAATCTTGTCACTAGAGGGTCCTCTAACAAATTACCAAGAGCTCAAGTCAGTTTGGATCATGAGTGAGAGGGTTTAGTCATTGTATGTATTTGTGCTTTGAGCTTCCAGGGCTATGAGGGTACAGCCCCAGTTCTCAGTGAGGGGAAGGAGCTGGTGTGGCCACGGGGAGCCCTGGGCTGGTGTCACTGCAGGGTGGCTCCTGCTGTGCTCCTGCTCTGCTGTGGGGTGTGCAGAGACACCTCCCTCAGTGACAGGTGGGCACACTTTGTGTCAGCTCTCAGCAGGGTCAGCCTGTGAGAGGTGCTGAGCTCAGGCTCTTCACCTTTCTCTGATTTTTGTATTTCATGTGTAGGAGCATGTTTTGGGCCTTCTCTCCTCATGTGAATTGATCATTCAGAGAAGTGGCATGATGGTGATACCTGTGCAGTGGATTCAGTGGGTGTGTTTAAATGTTTAAGAAGAAAATTGGCTGGTGCATGATTTCCTGTTTCCCTCTAACCATGAGTTTTTTTCCAGTCTGGACCAAAATTCTTAAGAGTCGCAAAATCTCTCTTGAGTACTTTCTCCTCCTTGGCTTTATATAACAAAAAAAATTCAGTCACTTTTACTTTCTTAAAGGTAGCTTTCAAAGTATTTTTGCCTTATTTGGTGTGATTTCTGTTGCTTTAAGGAGAATTGGATAGAAAAAGAAAATGTATTTAGGTATGGGATTTGAAATATTGGTGTGTGTGTATGAAACACATGTACACAAAATATTTCCTTTCCTGTGGGGTTTGGGCCCAACCCCACATTACCTAAGTAGAGATCATGTGTTGCTCTTGTCTCCACTAATTTTTGTATTTAAAATTCCCAGTGAGGACACTGGGGATGTTCTCAGGGTGCTGCTGGCCCCCTGATCGCTGTCACATGGAATTGGCTTCATGTGTGCTTGGGTGGCATGACCTTAAAACCACAATTCTGAGCTGGCCTTTCCGTGGCTGTTGATGCTTCTGGCTGGGCTGTGATGATGGCAGCAGGTACCTTCACTGTGCACATTCAGGGTTTCACTGCAGTGTTCCTGGTTAATATCACAGTTTACAAAAACAAAAAGATAAATTACGCACAATCTCTGAACTGCGTGAGGCTGGGAGGTGCTGAATGGAGCTGGTGGTCCCCTCTTGGTCTGATTTGTGCTTCAGGTTTTGTAAACTCCACAGTCTTGAGCAGCTGACTTTCACATGGATGTATCTGACCAAGGTATAACAAAGCTGAAAAATTGTGCTTTGAGTGTTACTTTAATCCCAACAGTTTGGTGTAGATACCTTCTCCCCATCAAACCCTTCCTGGTTCATTTTAGGTCACCCAGAATTATGGTTTATAATGTTCTCTGTTGTGGGTATTTTGTTGTGTTACAAAAAAAAAAAAAAATCTGCTGCCTTAGCTAGGCTGATATTTTTGTTTTGTTTTGTGGAAAGCAGTGGTAATGTTTTTTTTCCTTTGTTTGAAATGTTACACTGAATGTTTTGTAGGACAATTTTTTTTTACTGTGTTTTCAATAAAGTGTGATTTATAGCAGAGTTTTGTCCCTTTTTTATTAGAAGCAATGAAAAAATAATCTGTGTCATTCTAAGTTATCCTGTCTGTAATTGGTATGAATAGTTGTGTTCTCCTCTCTTCTTCTTTCTCCCAATTTAACCTGCTTTTGAGATTCTCAAACGGTTGCATTTCTAAAATATCTGATGTAGGGAATGTGATGGAGATTCCTCTACATTCAGAGGCATCACAGCCCTGTGTTTTAAGACAGGTGTGCAATTAATTGGAATACTCTGCTTTAGGCCAGTGGGGATTGTTTATAGCAAAGTGTGCTCATTATGTAATTTGTAAGTAATTTGCAATTCCTTAATAGTTTGACTGAAGGGCAATTTTTACATGTTAAACCCCTGACCACCATGCTTCCTAAACTGTCTGTAACTTAAACAGCTTCAGACTTTAAATTCCATTTCACAGGAGAGTTTAGGCTGTTTTTAAAGTTCAAGGATCACGTGGCTGGAAGGGACCTGGAGATGTTTGATCCATCCAGCTGCACAGGATCAAACATAGCTGCATTATTCCTGGTATTTAACCAGCCTGGCAGGGCTGTCTGTGATGGGATTGCTGGGCTGTCTCTAGGCAGTATATTCCACTGTTTAATTGTCCAAGATTTCATAAATGTCAAATGTGAAGGGCCCTGGCCATGCTTTAAGCTTTAATTTTGTTCTCAAACATCCATAGTAAAACAAGTCTTTCTGCTTGCACTGCTTTTTCCATGCCTGAAAGGTTACATTTCCCTTTATTTTCCACACCTGAAAGGTTACATTTCCCTTCATTTTCTATATGAGAAGTGACCCCAATTCCCTCAACAGTTTTATGGAGGCCTCTTATCATCCTTTTTGCTGTTTCTGGGGATGCTTATGTATTTTTGGAAACACAGAGCTCAAGTGGACACAGACACCTCCAAGCTTGAGCTCTGGCATTACATCATATCTTCGGTACTTTTTTCTTTGTATTTTTTGGGCTTGGTTGGTTTGGTTTTTTTGACAGACAGTGGGAGAAGAGGCATCTCAGGTGTTGTCCTCAGTAGAGATTTTTATGCGTTTTTACTGCCTTTTGAGTATGTTTCTGCATATTGCATATAGGACTGGGCAATGTCATCTTCATATCTGAAGATGCTCCCACAGGGAACTCAACAAAATAAATACCTAAAAGGATTGCTTTTCTTGGATTTAATCATCTTGAGTGCAATCCCAGCTCACTGTGGCCACTTCCTCCTAATGTACCCCTGTGTCTGAAAGCTCTGCAGGGATTCACGCAAGTCTGTGTATCTCTGCCCATAAATGTGTGCAGCAGTTTTAAGGGACATTTTGGCATCTGTATCATGACCAGGCAATGTGAGCCTTTCTCTCCATGCATTTCCTGTGACAGAAAACATGCTAGGAAAAGAAGGAGCCATTTTTTCAGGGAGTGTGGGTTGGATAGTGGGAAGTGAGGTGGCAGAAGGATTGAGCTCAAGGTCAGACAGCCTCATGGCACCTGAACACTTTCTTACTGTTTTATTTCACTTTTTCTTTTGGTAGCTTTTCTCCACCAGCACACCTGCTCCCTTCCAGCTGTGAAAGTGACCCTCCATAGCATATATCAGAGTATTTAAAATGAACTTTTCTAGACCCAAAGAAGTTGAGAGCCCAAATCTCACAAAAATCCTTCAGAGATGATGTGGAAAACTCACTTAAGAATTTATATAAGCTTTGAGTTTCCTAAATTTTCTGCTAACATGATCTTATTATTTTGATTCTGTGGTCTGATTCACTGCTGAGAACTGTTCTGACTGTGTTCCCAGATGATCCCTAACAGAACAGGATATTGAAAAGATGTATCCATTTGTCAGTGGAAATAGGATTTGTTTCCTTGTTAGTAAATGCTGATTTAGCAATGTACCATAAAAGTTTCCTGAGAGCCTTTGTATTGTGGATGTATTTAAATCCCAAAATGATGGGAAAAGCAGCAGCCCCTCCCGTACTCTGTGAGAGAATTCTGTGTAGCAAAGAGCAGGTTGGGAACCTGGTGCTTCCCCTCAGCACTGCTCAGTGCCAAGAAAGAAACATCCCAGTCTCTTGTTCACACTGACCTTCGGTGGTATGTGTAAAACACAAAACAAACAACCAACAGTCCCACCTCAGGCCTCCTCCAATATTTACACTTTGTGGTCTCCAAACAATCCTGACTGGTGACACCATGTGCTCTCTGAATGAGAAAGCATTGAAACCTTGCTTGTATCTTTAATATTTTAATGGGATTATGTATTTAATTAATAACAGCCCTGGTAAGTTTTACCTGACTGTTGTTAGCTGGGTTCTAGAACTCAATCTCTGCATTGCAATTGTAACTGTTGTTACTGATTTCATATTAAAATCTGACTTCAGGAAGAACAAGGTAAGATTACACCAAACTCATATAATTTGGGGTTTCTGTTCACCATCAAGTAAAGGTTGATCACTTTAAAACACTTCTGAGTTATGCTTGGTCATCATGTATAGTGGTATCAGACTTGACCAGGCCTGACCTGGTGCTGTAAGCAAGTGAGCATCCTTGAGCTGGAACTGTAAAAAACAAAAGAAAACGTTTCTTGCATGAGACAGATATCTATGAAGTTCCTCTGCTGCTAAGATACTATCTTTGAGCTACTCCTGGATTTTCTGTAGTATGATCTGACCAAATTCAAATCCATCAATCAGTAAATAAAGTCTAAGGTTGGGAAGAAAAAGAAGTGTAACTGAAATTTAACCCAGAATTTTGGCTAAGTGCTAAATCAGCATGAACTGTCAATGTGAATGGAAAGGAAATCAGCATTTTGAGTAATTTATTGTCACGTTTTAGGATGTAAAAATGATATTTTAATGCATAATACTGAATAACTTTTTTTTAATCCTAGAATAACTGAAACAGAGCAATTGAATTTATTTCTGAAAACACCATACCCTGTCCATTTTATGTCTGAGACTTCCTAAAGCTTGGACAGAGTGGCAGAGAGTGACTGTGCAATCCCCCATCGGTATGCAGAGCTGCATCAGTCATGTGTACAGCAGCCCAGGACTATGATAAAATGAAACCATGAAACAAAGCACTGAGGTGAACTTTGTCCATGGGGAAGCCTTTTTAAGTGATCCAATGTCAGCAAATTGCTTACTAATGTGTTGACTTATGGCAACCCTCAAAAGTAAAATGAAAAGGCTGGAATTTACAGCATATCAATGAATCAGTTGATAAGCTTTTACTGGTTTAATATCCTCCTAGTTTTGCTGCTTGGAGCCACTTCAGGTTAGCAACAGAATGTTTACCATCTCTGTGTGATAAAGGAAGTCAAATGACTAAACAAATTCCAGGACCATTATACTGTTTGGTGAGATTTAAATTAAAATCGTTGGGAGAAATCATGTGGAGGGGGGAGGAAGAAACTAAAGTCAACTGCATCATTTCCCAGTGACTTACCTCCTGCTTCCTAAACAATGGCAGGATTTTTAGCAGAGCTGGAGATAATGTAATGCATTAGAAAAGATTTAATTGCACTAATAAAAGGCTATACCACAATTAAATGACATGCAGAGTGACATTTATAGGGAGGATCAAAGAAATTCACTACCTAACATGCTGAAGCAACACCCTGCTCTCTGTGTATGGGAGTGCTAAAAAGTAGCCTACTTTGGTTTCAGTGACCTTTCTTATCTCCTTTGATCTAGATTATTAAAAATTTTAATGCCAGGTGTAATAAGGGCTACTGTAGCACCCTGAAACAAGCAATATGTGGCCTTCCTAGTACTAATATTTCAGACCTTGTTTTTTATTTTCTGATATTTATTTAAGCATATGAAACTTGACATTTAACCTTTGTGATCCTTCCAAAGGTGGCAGGGTTATTAAAAAAATAATTGGGTTTTTTTTGCTATTGTGATGCCATTTGATTATGCTAATGTTTAGGGAGTGGCATTTTAAAAGCACAGCCCAATTTTGAGAAGCAAATTCTATTTTAGAAGAGCTTTTTAGTGCCTGGAAATGGATAGCTCCTTGTGAAAACTTTCTTTAATGTTTTAATTAACCAACACTTTAAGAGTGAACAGCAGGAAAACTCATCTACAGTTCCCACTTGAAAGCCACTAAGGAAAATAAGTGCAGGTCCTTTAATCATGACTTGCACTGAATTTATTCAAACCTAATCATTACGAGAGGACTTTATAAATTTATTCTTAATAGAAGGTGGAAAAGGAGTCCCCATTTTGTTCCCTGTTGGATGAAGATCTTCCTGTGGCTTTTTGAGATGTGGGCAGCCACGTGCCAAGGGCAGGGACCCTAAAGCCAGCCCAGGGCAGGTGGCTTGGAGGGTTTCTGCTGTAGCCATCTGAATTTCAGTGAGAGAAATTGTGACCACTGACATTCAGCTGCAGCTTTGAGCACATTTAGGAGCCTTCTCCAACCTCCTGTTGCTGAGACCTTGTTTCATGGCTTTGCATGGTGTCTTGGGCCCATGGGATACTGGCAGCCTTCTTGGGAAAAATGCCTATATCTGCTTCCTCAGACTTTCAAACAGCAGGAAAACCCAAGGGTTGTCTGTTCTAGTGTTGCTTCTTGAGGACAGTCACAATCCACTGGCAGGTTAATTTATTCCAAATTAAGGGCTTGAGCACTTTTGAGTGGAACATGGAACATCAGTCACCTTCATATTCTTCAGTCACCTTCGTATTCTTCAGCCACCTTCGTATTCTTTTTCTCTGCTCCAGGGAAGGATTTTGCATTGGTTCTAAAGAGGATGGAATGAGCAGACTGACAGAACAACAGTGGTGCCTGTTCAGTGTGAATGAGAAGGAATGAGTGAAAAGGGAGGGAGGAAACTCCTGATATTCAGGAGTTCTGGTTTAAGGAAGCTGAATTGCCCCAAGGAAAAAGACCAAGGAAGCAAATACAGCAAAGCATTTTTTCAAATAGTTGCTTTCTTAATTTTCTATCCATAGGAGGCACTGCTTCCCTTAAGTCTTTAGACTCTTTTCTAGCAATATATCCCCTCCAGGAAGCTTAAATTCTGTAAGACAATTCTGCTCAAAAAGAGGAAACTTGAATTTTTATAATTTAGTTATTTATATGAAACAATGATTTATTACTCTTTTTTTTAACTTTAACTTTTGCAGTGCATACATTCTGTCTAGTTTCTTACTAAAAGTGTAATGCATTTGGAACATTATTAAGAAATAAATATTGTCTGGTGACACACCTGTAGCAGAAGTAAAGCTTACCTAATTAATTCAATTTAACTAAGCATGCCCCATCATGTATTACTCTCATCTGATATTGCTCTTTTCTACACATGGGACAATTTTTACCTGTAAATTTCAATTTCAGGTAAATAAATTTCAAAGGTTTTCAGGCATCACTGAAAAAATAATTACAATTACTTGCAATATATTTCATCTCGTTGGTACAGGTGAAACAGGCTAGATTACAGAATGTAAAAACAGTTAATTAATCAATCCATGAACACTCTACAATATGCATGTTTTTAAAATTAAAGCGTTAAGAGAATTTTGTAAGTCTCCACATATTCACATGAAATTTCATGTATTTTCATGTATTAAATTATTCCAGGTTAGAATACTTCTGTGTAGCTCAGTTACAAATGATGTTCTTCCCATGTGCTTTTAAAAAAGGTTATAAAAAAGAATAAAGTGCTTCATCATAAAATAGCTTTAAATTATATTTCTTACCATAAAAATCTGGACTCAAAATTCCTTTTCAAGATGATTACATTTAATTCATTAAGATATTCACTTAGGTAGTTTAATTAAAAGACTCATGTATTATGTGCTTGAATAGTTATATAAAAATGTACTCCCTTAATGGACTACATGGGAACATGAATGCAGCACCTGTTTTTTCAAAGGAAAGAAAACAACCCCAGAACCAAACCTGACTTTAAAGCATTCTAACAGCTGAAAAGGAAAAAAATGCTGACAAGAAAAATTCTGAAAGGTCATCAGTTTGCTTCTGTGATTACTGCACTCTTTTGAGTGAAAACAAAATTACTTTGTGAAATTGTGAATTTTGTGTTAACAGCACATGGGGTGGCAGAAAGGAAGAAATGGCAACTGCTACTGGCTGAAGGAACAAATGATAAACCAAACATTTAAAATGAAATCTGATTAATTTTCCTCCCCTTTCCCAACAGAGACATTACATTTCAAGAGGTGATGCACATCAAATGCAGCGTTTCTCACATGCAGTAAAACAAAAGAGAAAGAAAGTTGACAGGCTACAAGAAAAATTCACCTTTATCTGACCTACACTCTCACCAAATGCTGATGATCTCTGTGCTGACAAAAGATACAGAGTTGGACAAAAAAAGCTGTTGGCTCTTAGGAGAGGGGGAAGTTGGGGAAGGAGTGAAGCCCAGAAGAAGCAGAGGATTAATGGCCAGCACCAGCTGGAGGGAGAGTGCTCAGAGCTTTCACATACAGTGGATTTTCCCTTAAAAAAAGAGCTAAGGAAACACCAAGGACAAAAAGAATTCCAGAGGCATTTGCCTTTTTGTGCCAAATCTAAAGTAACCTTCTTAATGAGTGCTGTCTTTTGCTCCCTCTTGTGAAGTTTCAGACTTTCAGGGTAGCCAGAAATTGGCAGATCTTTCCAGACCTCTCCCATTTGTCTGTGGACAGTTGTTCACCTCCAGCTAATGTTGATATAAAAAGGAGCAATAGCCCTGAATCTAAGGTTATTCAAAGACTTGATTCACAACACACACTTGTTTGTGAAAAGTCTTTTAAAAAAATTTAAAAGGGGAACAAGGAGAAAAACTACCCTAAAATGCACTGTGGAAAGGAACTTTTAAGCAATTGGGATAATTCTTCTAATTACCATCATCACTTCTCTGAAGCAGCTCTCTGTTCCATCAGTCACTTGTCTCTTTTGCTTAATATTTTCAAGATGATGGATTAGAGAATGTAATAAAGCAGGATGTGTTTATGCCCATGCTACACACGGGCACTGAGCAGGCCATCGAGGTAAAATGCAGGCATTTCATCAAATAACCTGAGGAAGTGACTGTCTGGCATTGGGTGTACACCTGCTTTGTTTCCCAAATAGAAATAACTGTTGTACTCATCTGAAATTAACAAAGCCTTTGAGAAGACAAAATCCAATCTTGAATTGTACAAACAGCAAATGTTTCCCTGATGAATGAAGGCCAGAATCATATCTATCAGGAGTTTACTTGAAACAGCAAATAGCCTATACTTGCTTTGCAAGAACAGATAAAAAGGCTTCTCTACTGTCATAACATCAAAAGTGCACAAATGCTACCACTCTTCCTCTACCATGTCATGTTCAAAATAATATCAGAGTTGGCCACTGAGTTGGTCCACTTACTAAAAGTAGATTTAAATTTAAAGTGTTATAAAGAATTAAAAGTAGAATCTTTTCTTCATTTCTTCCTCCAGCTGATGACTTTCAGCAGTACCTCAAGAAAATAAAATAAGTAAATACAATTGTGAGTCCACACAATTATTCAGTTATATTTGTACCCTGGGTCAAATTGCAAATTCCTTCCTGAATATTGGACAGCACTGTATGGATTTTCCATGCTGTGTGGAGCTCTTTACCCATTCTTCAGCATGAAATGAAAAGGAAGGGTGCTCAATTACTCTGGGGTTTTTTTTTTTTTGGTTCAGAATGAACAAAAGAAAAAACCCAGAGAAGCTGTGGCTGCTCCATCCCTGGAAGTGTTCAAGGCCAGGCTGGATGGGGCTCTGGGCAACCTGGGGTAGTGGAAAATGTCCCTGTCCACTTCAGGAAATGGGAGCTGGATGATCTCTAAGGTCCCTTCCAATCTAAACCATGAATGGATTTGCAATACAGTAATTATCAGAACCTCTTTTACATACAGGATTTAGACAGGATTTTTTAAATGTAAATTTATATTTGCTGAGTAATTTGAATTTATTTTTATACTTTTCAGAGCCATTAAAATGGGATTAACTAAGGAATGTAACAACATAATTTCAAAAAAATCAGTACAAATAAAATCTCAGAATTGTGATTTTTTTTCTCAGCATTGCATTTATGCATTCTTAAAAATAAAAATTAATCAAGTAGTATAATAAAGAATAGTGGCTGCTGCTGAAAAATTGTGAAGTTTAATGAGACTGTGACATAAGAAAGAGAAATAAAGAGCATGAAGAGACAAAGAGATGGTCACAAGAGGCCAGTGCTACTGTCACTGTTACAGCTGAGCTGTCCATCTCCAGCAATGAATGTGAGGTGCCTGCTGCACGTAGATGTGAAATCTCTGCTTTCTTAAAGAAGGAATCATTGAAATTCCTTACATGTGAAATACTTACAGCATTCCTGCCTGCCCCCACAAGTGCCAGATAAAGTCCAGTGTCAGTACCTCAGCAGTAAAATCCCTGTGCTAGCAGAATATAGAAATTGATCACCTTTGAAGAGCAGCAGAAGCTGCTTGTGTTGGTTGACCAGAATCCACGGAGAAATGTCCAAGGTTTGTATAACAAGCCAGTAATTTGTGTAACCTGAGTCCATGGTGAGGCTTTACTGGTGTTTGACAAAACAAGAAAGAGTGACATGCAATAATTGCAATAATTACAATGCAAGGTGATGACACCTAGGTGAGAGCTCAGTACTAGATGGGAAGGAAAGGGTAAACTCCTTCATTCATACCAGAATCTTTGCACAAATCTGACAGTACTATGCAGCACGTATTCTGTGTAAGCTTGCAAACCCCCATCAGGCAGCTTGTGCATCCAAACCCATTTCTCATGAGGAGAAAAGGAATCCCAGCAAGTCATGGGGTTTTGGTGATCCCCTTGCTCAAGTGTCTCATTATTCTAGGGCAGGATTTGTTAATTTTTGAGGCTAAAATTCTCCTTCTGAGCTCATCCATCTACAGATGTATATCGTTAATCATTTGAAATTTGCACAAACTGCCTTTGATCTTTTAAAAGAACTTTTGAGAGGTACTAAAGGATCTATCAGGAATACTGCCTTCCCTTTAGTTGAACTATCTGCCTAACCCACTTCCTTGTGAGGTCATGACATCCTTCGAACATAAATCAATTTCAATCTGTGTTTTAGAGCAAGGGCTTTGAGGTTTCAACTGGGTCAGTTTATGCTTTTGGAACAATGTGGGGAGAGATTTCCCTGCATGTGTTTTGGTTCACCTAGACCCCACCTGGTTACTTTTGTTATCCCATTTTGGTGGCTCAATCTATAGAGTGATGGCCTCTGTGATGAGAAAATCTGGGTACAGGGGGAGTGAACAAGAAAGCAAAGCAGGGACAGCATGAAAGACACCATCACAACCTAAAAAAAAGCCTGATCTTGATTTCTTTCCAAGCACTGTGGTCAGAGAATGTTTTAAGGAAGAAAATGAGATGGCTTTGTGGAAAGCCTTCTGTATACCCCCAGGGTAAGAGAGAATTCTTATTTAAAGCCTTCAAAAATGGTTTATTTAAACTGCCAAACAAGAAGAGATTGGCAGCAAAGCTGAACTTCTAAATAATACAGACCAGATGGGACACTTGTGAGAGACAGGTTGTGCAGGTGTTTAGAAGGAAAACTTTTATACAGCAGAGTTTCTGAGGGAAAACTGGTGGCAGGACACACAAGGAGGGACGTGTAGTCAAAGAAAAAGGCTTTGTGGAGATATTCTCAAAGCAACACTTTGAAAAGATACAAGCAATGAAAAACTGCATTTATCACAGCTCAGGACATCCAAGAACTTTTATCCTTATTCATCAAGTTTAAAAGCCCAACCCATTTACTGACACGCCCATTTACAACCAATAAAATAAACCTTATTGAAGCATTTACATAAATTAACCTTTAAACTATTACTGCTGGATTTTAGGAATCAAAACCCTATTGAAAAAAAAAGAATGACACAGACCTCTTAAACTTTCTTTTATTACCCATAAACTCAAGAAGAAAATGTTCCATTAAATTATGTTTTCAAAGTTGTTCTGCAGTTTTAATTTTTAAACCACATGGTCCTTATTAAGGAAGAGAAAGTTTGACAGATGCATTTTGAGATAATAATATAATAATATAATATTATTATTATAATGATATGAGATATTATATGATAATATTGGTGAAATAATATGACAATATTGGTGAAAATACTACAAAGTATTTCAGCACAGTCTTTTGAATCCCTTTCACAAATATTTGTGTGGGAAAACTCAGTCAGTGCTGTGATTTAAAGAGAAAACACTTAGTCTTTCTAATAACAGCAGAAAACATGCTCACACCTGGGCTGCATTTTTTCACCTCAGCCTTTAGCTTCCATAATCACTCATCACTGATGTTCATTTTAACCCCACTACCTCTTCTCTGTTTTCCCCCCTGCTATCCTCTCTTCAGAATGAACCAAAGAAAAAACCCTGCCCTCTTTAGAATTATAACCATGGAAATACAGTGCTAATTATCTCATCCTATTAACCTTTGTCCTGCCACTGGTTACACTCCCTTGTTGTGCACTGCCTGAAGTGTCCCTCTGAATTTTCAGCAGATTTCAAAGGCAGATGTGCTTGGATGGAGCATCCCTGGTTTAATGGGTTCCCTCTGGAGCTGGGACTGCTGTGACAGCTCCTGTGGCAAAGCCAACCTGATCTTCAGGGAGGCCAAAGGGAGTTTGCATGAAAAAGATTAAATAAACCAGCTATTAACGATGAAAGTTTGTTATACTCAAAACTGCAAAATTTGGAGCCAGAAGGTTCTTTGAGTAGTGCCCAGTCAAGGCAACAGAAAGGATGGACACAGGAAGATGCTTGTGGCAAAAATAGTGTGGAAATCTTTAGAAAAGAGAAATACAGAGAGGCAAGAAGCACGTTTGATCTCCTGGTCCCTTAAGATGCTCCCTGGTTTTGTTTTTCTAAGCAATATCGTCTGTTGCTGTTCCACAACTGTATTATTATAACACTATTTAAAAGTGAATTTTCTCACCAGGCATCATTCCAAGCCCTCACATCTGTGACTTTTATCTTGCTGCATGTTTGCTTCTAAATTTGAAAAAGGTATTTAGCTACAGGTGTTAATTCTTCCCTGGTTTAGCCCCAGGACCATTGTATAAACGAACCTTTTTAACTTTGAGCAAAGCTGGGTATATATTAACAAAGAATACATTTCATGCAACTTTATTGTCTTTTTACAGAATAAGGAATAAACCAGATCATTTCAAATAGACCTTAAAAAAAGCTTAGTGCTAGAACCTGTCCCCAACTAAATACAGTAAGAAAATAACCATTTCTTTCTTAAAATAAAATGTAAAGATAGTTATGACATTCAATAGACATTAAAAGTACTTATTGCTTCTAATGAAGAATATGTCTTCATCAAAATGCCCTAGTTTCACCTTTTTACATTCATTGTCACAAAAATAATGTTATAAATGCATTTCAGATATGAAAAGACACCATGCTGTTTGACATTTAATCATCTTCTGAACTCAAAGCTTAGCCTTCACATTTTAGTTTATTTTAAATAATAACAAAAGTTAGAAATCAGAATGGTTTACCTAAATTCAGCTGTGGAGCACTGGGGTCAAGAAGATTCTCCTTTTTTGCATCTTCCTTGCATTTGTGCTCTTTTTTCTTAGTCCAGTATTTGCTATTACGACGACTATTTCTTTTATTCATGGGATTTGTAAAAGTTGTTGGTATTCCTTGTCCTTGACTTAGAATGTTAAAGGATCCTGCAGCTGATGATTGTGTATTATATGATCCTGTAGAGCAACTGCAGAAACTGCTCTTGTCTCTTGTTTGGAAGAACAGCCCTAAAAAGCAAAAAACCCCCAACCAATCTTGAATAATTATTGTTATAAATTATTTAAAACCATACAGATTATAGTAAATTAAATGAAACTCTGCACTTAGCCAATATTTTTCAATTGTTAAAAGCTTTTATACACATACAACTCCAGTAGTTGAAGCCTAACGTGCAATTACTGTAATATGAAATTTAAGATTGATGTTTCTGACACATCCTAGTTTTAACTTATAAAAAGTCAAATGAAATCTTTGATTTATCATTTATATTAAATAAAATAACAGCAATTTTAAAGTTTTAATTACTGAGCTCATAATTATTATATTCAATAAACTCATTATGAATTATAAAAGTTTGGCATGCCCAAACACATTTTAATTTCATATAATTAAAAACAATCCCAAAGGCTAATTTTGCCTTTCAGAGTCCTGAATATAAACAAGAATGTATTATTTTTATACAGGGAATGGGCTTATCTACCTGTTCCTCCATTTCTCCCCATGCTTATGCTTTATTTTAGGAGAACCCTGTAAAATCATGATGTTGCATTGCTGATCTTTAGCTGGTTTGACAAGAATAGTGTTCCTTTACATGCAGACATGTACAAGGACTTCAATAATATTTCTCAGGAGAAGCAGCCTCCTCAATAGCAGATAAGAAACCTACAATTTTTGTTGTTTTCTCCTCAGGATCCCATGGGAAAGAGCTTAACATCTGTTCCAGGCACAGAAGTTAACTTTGGATCCATAAATCACCAAGTCTGTTCCCCTCCTGGCAACCTCATTTCACCCTCAGTGGCTGCCAGCAGTGTGCAGGGAATGGACACAGAAAAAATGGCAGCAATCACAAATTTCAGGCTGAACTGACAAGATGTGGCTGCAGCAATAAACCCCAGAACTGTTCTGCAGGATTGGCTTGTTGTAGAGAGGGAAGGCAGTGATACACTGGGCAGGGATGGTGTTGGCAGCCCCTTTGGGCTGGAGCTGCTCCTCTGAGGTCCCAATATCCCCCCTGGTCCAGCATGGGGATGTGACTTGGTGCCAGGGTGGAGGTGCAGGGATGAGTGAGACCCCTGAGCTATGACAAACAGGAGCCACTGCCTGCAGGGCTGCTCTGGTTCACACCCACAGCAAGGTTTAGTTTGGAAGGGGCCTTAAAGGTCACCTTGTTCACCTCCCCTGCCATGGCTGGGGACGCTTCCCACTATCCCAGGTTGCTCAGAGCCCCATCCAACTTGGCCTTGGACACTTCCAGGGATGGGGCATCTACAGGTTCTCTGGGCAACCTGTGCCAGGGCCTCACCACCCTCCCAGGGAAGAATTTCTTCCCAATATCTAAACTAAATCTACCCTTTCTCAGTTTAAAGCCATTTAACTCCTTGTCCTATCACTCTGTTCCCTCTCCTGCTGTCCCTTAAGGCACTTGAAGCTGCTCTAAGGTCTCCCTGGAGCCTTCCCCTCTCTAGGCCGAACAGCTCCAACTCCCAGCCTGTCTCCATAGCAGAGGTGCTCCAGCCTCCTGACCATCTCTGTGGCATCCTCTGCACTCACTCCTCCAGGTCCATGTCCCTCCTACTCTTGAGGCCCCAGACCTGGATGTTTCCGTGTGTGGTGGTTCCACAGCCAGCCCTGCTTCTCTCCGCTCACAGCTCAAGATGGGGTGACCAGAGGGACTCTGTCTGTGCTGCAGAGAAGCTGTGCATGTGGCACTTGGGGACATGGTTTTGTGGTGGATCCGGCAGTGATTAATGGGTTGATGGTTGGACTCATTGGTCTTTTCCAGCCATGATGATTCTTGTTAATTTTTTGTCCCTTTTCCCCCAGCCCCACAGGCTCGGAGGGAAGGGTGGCAGTGGGAGATGTTTCTCCATTCTCCTCAGAGGGTGCAGTGGATCCTCTCCTGGCTTGATACCAGTTTCTGTCCATAGGGAAGCCCCTGGGAATGATTCCTTTCTGGTTTTCCCTACCACTCACTGTATCCCACTGCCTCTAGGCAGTATTTTCCCCTTTAGCTTTATGTATGTGGGGTAATGGGGAGGTTAGTGAGCATTAGTTGTGTTCCTCCTTGTGCATTTGGATTTGAAGACATTTTTGCTGTGCTTTTAAATTTTTAATGTGTATTTTTAAGCTGGCAGGTAGTAAGATGGGAGGAGGCCCTGTGATTATCATAGATTTATAGAATAATTAAGGTTTGAAATGACTTGAAAAATCCAGCCATTAACCCAGCACTGCCAATCCACCACTGAACTGTCTCTCTAACTGCCACATCTACAATTTTTTAAAACACTTCCAGGCCAGGTAATTCCACCACTTCCCTGGGCAGCCTGTTCCAGTGCTAGACAACCCTTCCAGTGAAGACATTTCTCTTAATTTCCAATCTAAACCTCCCTTAAGTCAACTTGGGGCCATTTTCTCTCATCCATACTGTTTGTTACCTGGAAGAAGAGAATGCCCCTCACCTGGCTACAGCCTCCTTTCAGGTACTTGTGGAGAGTAGCAAGGTCCCCCCTGAGCCTCCTCTTCTCCAGGCTCTCCATCCTCAGCTGCTCCTCACAGGACTTGTGCTCCAGAGCCTTCAGCAGCTTCCTCACTGCCGTTTTGGGTGACCTGTGTCTTTGGCAAGTCTATAATAGAATAACCATGAAAAAAAAGGAAGAAATCTTTAAAAAAAGGACAGATGAACAGAATCCATATGGATCAAACAAAGGTCTTTGTCCCCTAGTATCCTATTTTTGTGCAAGGCTCAGGGACATGGTAAGGATGTGTTTAGTAGAGCATCAGCTCCTTCAGGGACTTCCCACATTTTAAAATGTGGTTTCCTGAACCAAAGCACTGCCCATGTCTTTGGTTAGCACAGATGTGTTTCTTTCAGATACAGAATTGTGTGGAATCCACTAGAAAGAGTGTGGGCTTCCTCTGGCCATTTCCCTGGTTATTCTCACTTGGTGGCCCTTTATTTTTCATGAGGAGAACAGGCACAGATGGTGCCTCAAATCCAGGTGTGCAATTTCTTTGATTTTTTTGGGTTTAAATACTTGTCAGAGTCCTTCTCAGCTGCTGCTGACTTGAGAGATTTGTTTTCCTGTGGAAGTGACATTTTCTGAGCAAAAGCAGTTAGGCTGTCCTGAGAGTAATCCTTTGAGCAGCATATAAATGGAGTGATTAATCCACTGGATGCACTTCTCTGTAATTACAAGTAATTACTTTAAAGTCAAATCTGCAAATGAGAATACCTCTCTGTACGGTAGGGGAAGATGGAAAAAGCAGCTGAAGTGGCTATCTTTAAAATGACATTAAATCACTGATTGTTTCCAAAGGCAGGAATTAAATGATAAAATAGCAGTTTTTAAAGGAAACTTGCACATTATCCTGACACCAAATGTGATGAAGGGATATTTTACAGTATAAACTTTTAAAGATTTTCAGTAATAAATTTAATTAGGAAATAAAGTAGAAAACTCGATTTTCTGCTGTCTAAAATTTAAATGAAAGGATAAATGCTGAAATATTTTCAAAAGCCAACCCACTGATGTGTATAAAAATCGCTGACATGTATAATTTTGGATATAAAGATGCTGAAAATTACCTCTCTTGTGCCTATTTCAGTTTCAGTTTTATGCTTGAACATGATTCAGCACTCTTATGTCTTTTCAGTATTGCATTCAATTTTTTTGTTAGAATCTATGACTGACTTTCCTAAAGTGGCTAATAAGCTTCTTTTCAAATAATGCTTGCCATCTCTTCTATTTCTGTCATACCTCATTAAGGTGATCCTATACACATGTATGCTTAATTAAGGCTTTTCGTTAAAATAAGCCTTTAATCCAGAGGTGCTGGGCCTTAATTGAAACTCAAAGATTAGTGTCCTCTCTCATTTTGGTTTTCACTTTTACCATACTTCCTACTTCTTCTAAAGTAAAATGCGTTAGCCTTAGCTGATACATGGCCAGGAAGAAATTAAAATTCATACTGCAGTCTTCTGGAGAGTAACATGCCTTGGTAATTGCCATTTCTTATTAAGTGCCACCTTTTACCAAGAGCCTCCACTTCAAATGCAGAAGGTTGCTTTAAACACTCCAAGGACATTAACATAATGAACACGCTGCCTGTTTTGAAGGTGAGTAATAAGTGACTAATGATACCTGGTTTTATCCATCTGTATAATTTTTAAATGTTAATTGTATGTTTAAATAGTGCTGAAATCTCAGATCTGTCTCGAATGACTGACTTTTACAGAAGATTTAGGAAAAATGAGGATTTTTAGCTGCACTCAGGTGAGGTACTGTACATTGCAGTAAATTTTAAAACCTTTTTGGAGGAGTGAGACACAGATTCAACATCTGGTCTTCTAGAATGAAATGCATCAGCTGAAGAGCCAATCTATTTTCTTCTTGTGGAGCTACAACTGGGCATGGCACTGCTAATTAGCAGAGGCAGGTGGCCTGCTGTCATCAATGGCAGGAGAGCAACTTTTCAGGAAGAGCTATTAAATTGTGTGGGCTGAATAAATCTGATACAGAAACAGCGATGCTGGGGAAAAGGTTTGAAGCAAACTTTTTAGTGTAGCAACTGTAATGGGCTCCACTGATATTGTGTCTTTACATCATGAAACTTGCTGCCTGTAATGTGTTTTTACACCTAAATTTGTTTAAAAAGTGTGATAAAAATATGAATGTAAATGAAAGGAAAGCAGTACTATTGCGCAGGTTGGTGGTTTCTAAAAGGATGTGTTATAAAAGTGTGTATTGGCACAATAAATGAAACCTGTGTGCAGAGAAGTAAGCATGGTGAGGGCTCTACCTGCCCTGGGCTAATCCCTAAATGGTTTTGTTAGGTAGGATGGTCCCAGAGATGGTCCCAGGGATGGTCCCAGGGATGCTGGGCTGTGTCCCTCCCTCCCAGCCAGGCTCCAGGGTGTAAACATTGAGCAGGATGAATAAACCTTTGCCTGTGTGAACACACAGATTTTTTTCTCCCACTGGAAATCAGGACATTTATGCTTCTGGAA